TACTATAAAATACCAAATTCACATCCACTGCCCCATTTTGGTTGCTCACATAACTTTAATGGAGAGAGAGAGATTGATTGATTGGGATAAGGTATGTGTGTTGAGGGATGGCTTGGCTATTGTATTTGTTCTCTTGTCTCTCCTCCATGCTGCTTCGCAAGTTGCGGTGTGGGGGGGAAAGCCACAATCCATATGGCAGACAAACTTCACCCACTCTTTCATCAAACATACAACATAAAAAAGTACTTAGTAGAAGAGAATAGGACATTAAAACACTCTCTTTACACTCCGTTTGCATCTATAGTTTTGGTGAGGGAAAAAAATGGTGAAAAAACAAATTATATCAATTGCTCAAATAGTTAAGAGGCTTTTTGGTGTTAGTCGGGAGAGTGTTTCAACAATCAAGTTGGTATCGAGCTAATTTAGAATATAGAAGACATGATTGATTGTGGTGTACTTGATTTGCTGTGGTGAAGCTAAAGAAGGGTCATGGGTCATGTGCCCCCTCAGTTTTGAATTTTTTTTATTTTTATTTTTTTTTATATATAAAATGTATCCTCACTTATGCTCTTTGGCTAGGGAATTTTTTTCATTGTTCACAATAGATAATTTATTTGGTATTTTTGAAGCATTATGGTGTTGTTTATGTGGTGGTCCAAATCAATAATTTACTATGAAATTTTATGAATAGAATATAATAACTCATTATTGTTAGGTAATTGAAAGACAATAGATGAATCACATAATTTGAGTTACAATTTTTTATATTAGAATCACCACGTCAACGTCACATAATTTTATGAGATTATCTAATAATTTATATTCAAAACACATTTTTGTAATCAATACTATATATCTCTAATATTTTTTCTATCAAATACAAATTAAAGAAATTTTATAATGATTTGTGCTATGAATGATTTGTTTCTATTTTCTAAAATTAAGAATTTTAATTTGTAATTTTTTGAACTAAAATTGCATACTTACATTACTATTGCGTGCCGAGTTATTCCACATTATTATATAATTTTGATTAGTTGTTATTAATAATGAATAATTATTTTTTTATACTTAAAATTAGCTCATGAATTATTATTATTTTATTGTTGATCACAAACAAAAAAAAAATATTGAGATTGAATTTATAAAGTGTCCCTTCTGGCTTAATTTTGTAGCTCTGTCACTGTTGGTTTGCTTCCTCCCCTTCCATTTATAATGTTGTATATGTCACCTTTAAGTGGCATCTAGCAATCCATTGTGTTGTCAAGCATTGTATGTTTCGTTAGAGGGTGTTTGGGAAGTCAAGGTTTGGCATTTTTTTTGCTAAAATTTACAAAAAGATAAAATAAGTTAAAATAACTAATAAGACAAAATGCTACATCAAATTCATAATAATTTTACTTTTTCTCTCACAAACATCATATTCAACTACCAAAAAAATCTAACTCACTTTCCAAACGCAAATATTTTAATCTATTAAAATAGCTAAAACTAAAATAACCTATTAAAATAATCAACTTTTCAAACGAGGCCTTAATTTGGCCGACTACCCTATGTTTCTTTTAGCCGACAGTGTTAAATCATCATAATCTTCTTCTTCGAACATGTTTCTTGGGCGAGCCCTCCTGACTCTTTTAAAATTTCTCAAAAGAATTTTGTAATTAGGCCCACATCTCTACCCAAATTATGAATTCAATAATGTTTGATTTTATAAAAGAAATATTATGAAAATTTTTTATTATTGGATTAGTTTGAAATATTTTATTATATATTATACAATTACTCTTAAATTAATTTTATAAAACTTTTTATGATATTTGTTTTATGAAACGTAGCATAACTCCTATGAATTTTTAGCGAGTTCAAATGCCCCAACTACCGGTGCTCACCCTGAAGTCCCCTCTGGCTATTAGCCTTCTTATTTTAAACAAACAAACTGTGTGAACACTAATTTAAACATTGCAAATTTTAGCAAGTTGCACAACCATAAAAGGCTCAACAAAAAGCCAACAATGCCACTTTTCATGCAGAAAGTTATTCTTTTTTTTTTCTTTTTGACATCTTATTCACAGTAATATAAAATAAAATATAAAATTTGACTTTTCTCTATATGTAAGCACCATATATTATTGGGTAAATTACACTACCTCCCCTAAATTTAAAAAAAATATATATATACAATAAATTTTATAATTTTGACATAATTACACTGACGATTCTTTTAGAAAAGTTAAATGAACCGGAATTAATGTATATGTTGTGAAAATATAAAAATAAATAAGGTAGAATATACATTTTCGTGTAAAATATATGACAACATCATAATAAAAACTAACAAATTATTAATAAAAATGAGACTAAATGTTATACAAATAAAATTTTTAAAGAAGCTCAATATAATTATGCAAAATGAAACAAGGAAAAAATCATTTTCACAGAAGAGCAATAATATACATAATTCTCATTTTTCTTGTTAGAATTATATAGAGACATCCAATCCAAAATAATAGACAATAGGTGAAGGACTCTCTAGAGTATACAAACCAAGGTTTGGTAGTTTAAAGAGACAATGTGGGAAATCTCTAAGTGATCTAAAGGAACAAACACAAAGATATGAGATATCATTGTTATATATGTATAAAGCAATGCTAGCTTGCAGTTACACATAAAGCAATGCTATCTTGCAGTTACATTATACACTACAATATATAAGAATTTTAGAGATCAAATATTTTGGTCTTTAAAAATAAAAATTTTGTTCTATCGTCATGAGGATAATCGTTAAAAAGTCGTCCTGAAAAGTCAAAAATAAGGTTTTTAGCGACAAAATTTTAAAAATGTCACTAATAAATTGATTTTTAGAGATAAAATAATTTGATCTCAAAATGGTTTACTTTTTTAGACAAAATTTGGTCCCAATTCATCACTAATGTCCAATTTTTGTTACTAAAAATATAATAACGACACTTTTCGCAACAAAATTTTTTGGCTCCTAAAAAATAATTTTGTCCCTAAATTTTGATCTCTAAAATCCAAATTTTTTGTAATGATATGCAGTGTTTGGTTGATTCAAATAAAGGTGAAATATAATATCATTCCATTAAAATGTTTATTCTCACATCTAATTAATTAACAAAATGATAAATTGTAAATTTAATCATCATTTTTATCTTATTTTACTTTTATTCCAGCCAATTAAAATAGCATAATGGTACCCTTGTGTGGCTAAATTATTTTTAGGAGGCAGATATCCTCCAATCCATAATCTAGATTGGAAGGCGTTGTTTCGACCTGTGATGCTCATTATGTGTTTCATTTCGGTTATCTAAACTGTTCATTTTATCACACACTTAACGTATTTTCTTTGATATGCAGTGTTTGGTTGATTCAAATAAAGGTGAAATATAATATCATTCATTAAAATGTTTATTCTCACATCTAATTAATTAACAAAATGATAAATTGTAAATTTAATCATCATTTTTATCTTATTTTACTTTTATTCCAGCCAATTAAAATAGCATAATGGTACCCTTGTGTGGCTAAATTATTTTTAGGAGGCAGATAACCTCCAATCCATAATCTAGATTGGAAGGCGTTGTTTCGACCTATGATGCTCACTATGTGTTTCATTTCGGTTATCTAAACTGTTCATTTTATCACACACTTAGCGTATTTTCTTTCGATAATCTTAACATATTCAATGTCACGTTTGTCTCCAAAATAATTGGTGGTTTATTTTTAAAAGTACAATTGTCATCTTTTTTTTCTTTTCTTTTTTTGTGACACGCAATAAATTAAATAGGTTACTGTATAGATGAAATATACGAAGTGACCAACAAAATCAATAGTTTAAATTATTAAAATAAGACCTATGATGAACTCCATAAATCCAAATAGGGTCCATCAAGCCAGATTATGAACAGGAGGGAATCATCCTCCTTATTTTTAAACTTAAGATGTGTATTTATTTATGTTTTTATGGTGACAGAGAAATTTTTGGTCCCCCCCAAAAAAAATAAAAATTTGAAGATATGAATCATAACAACCCACTGTTGATTTGCATGGTCATGGCATTCACGTTATGGTGATTTCAGAGATCAAACCATCCAGTACATATCAAATAATATCTGCTGTTAGGATCATTGCAGTTAGGAAACTGTGAGCAGGTATTTCAGTACAACGAGATCTACTGAATCATTCAAATATGGTGTACTTTCAGATATAATCCTCTGTGACTCCACATCACAACAATCACTGGGTTGATTCACACAAGTTCCAACTTTTTATCAATCAAACGGTGATCAACGGTTCATTTTGGCACTTCCACGCCTGCATACACTATTGTAGTATGCATGGTTTACATGGAAGCAAGAAGAGTCGTCGTAGGGTTGTTATGATGTTACAGTTACCTATTTTTTCGCATGAGAGATATATTGGGAGAGCAGAGTTAAATATCCAGAATTTTTGTTTAGAATTTTATCGAAAAATATCAATATATGATTTAAATTCATTACATTCATGATTTCATCATATACCAATTAAATCTTAACCACACTTTATGATTCTGGGTAAAATTCTTTACAAATTTTATGGATTCTTAGTTTTTTCATGCAATGTATCTATGCTTCTAAAGATAATTTTAGGTAGTTTGGAAATATCACATGTTATTGCTTTTTTAATTAATTAAATTGTGAAAATTTTTATGATGGGATAAGAATGACCCACTTAATTTATTTCATAGTTTTTATTTGTCGACAATACCATGTAAGTAATGTGATACTCCCAACTAATGATGTAGAAGAAAAATTTATATTTTACAATTTTTATTTATCGACAATACCATTAATGTTATTTTCAATTCTTCATTTATTAAAAATACCACATAAATAATGTCACAACATACTTATACCTCAAAACTGCCCTAATAATTGTTCCCCTAATGATCCTTTTTGCTTTTTTCTATAAATAGAGGTCACTGGGAGTTTCTGAAAGATCATAGGTCACCCCCCAAAACTACTCTCTTCTCTCTTCTTTCTGCAATTGTTTCTCTTCTCCTGTGTATGATCAGCGATGGCACTTATTCCATCACTTTAGGGTATTTTCTGGTTTTGTAATAAAATATAATTAAAGGAAGGAAGGAGAGAGTGAGAGGGAGAGAAGGTAGCGGTAATGTTGTTGACAGAAGATAGAGAGCACAGATGATGAAATGCACAGAGAGTTTGCATCTCACTCCTTTGTGCTCTTTATACTTCTGTCATCATCCTTTCAGTTATTAGCTCCATACTCTTACCCCTCATTTCTCATCTTACTTTTTTTTATTTTTTTGAAAACGTGATGGTAGTTTGGTACTGCAAATCATCATCAATATGATTTTTTTGAAGGAACTTTCAGTGCCAGGAATTTTACCTATGTCTGATTATATCTTCTTGTCATATCATTTTTGTTTGATTTCATAGTTCATACAGCTTAATATGCTGTTTAATTTGCGCACAAGAGATAAGTGGGTATTAATTCATATATAGCATCATATTTTTTTGTTATTTCTTATAAAAGTGAAGGAACTTTCAGTGCCAGGAATTTTACCTATGTCTGATTATATCTTCTTGTCATTTCATTTTTGTTTGATTTCATAGTTCATACAGCTACTATGCGGTTTAATTTGCGCACAAGAGATAAGTGGGTATTAATTCATATATAGCATCATATTTTTTTTGTTATTTCTAATAAAATTGAAGGAACTTTCAGTACCAGGAATTTTATCTGTGTCTGATTATATCTTCTTGTCATTTCATTTTTGTTTGATTTCATAGTTCATACAGCTACTATGCAGTTTAATTTGCACACAAGAGATAAGTGGGTATTAATTCATATATAGCATCATATTTTTTGTTATTTCTAATAAAATTGAAGGAACTTTCAGTGCCAGGAATTTTATCTATGTCTCATTATATCTTCTTGTCTTTTTTTTTTGATTCAAAAAAAGTTTAGGAGGAGGGGAGGCTACCCCATTCCAGGGTTAGGGAAAGCGTTACGCAATATTGCCCACCAACAAAGGACTGCCGGCAGCGGGACTCGAACCTAAGCCAAATGGGCGAAGGGAACAAGCCTTACCAACTGAACCAACCCTTGTTGGTCTCATTATATCTTCTTGTCATTTCATAGTCTATCCAAATAAATTTTTGTAATGCTAGTATAAAGGGTTTTACTTTCTTTTAAATCTTACAATGAATTTTTTTTTTTTTTTTTCTTCAGTAGTTTGATGTTTTAACATATGGTTTCCTTCCAGTATTGTTTCATGTATATAATTCCACTGATTATTTTGCATTATTGTATGTTTTGCAGATTAGGACAATGGTTAAGCAAGTAAACCAGCTTGAAAACTACCTAATAGTTATGAGCCAGTTTGGGATCGTGCGCCGCTGTCTGGTGGTTGACAAAACATGAGCTATAGTTTCATGATATGCAATTTGTTTCTTCTGTTTATCCTTATCATTCTACTATTAACCTTAAAATAAAAATAAAAAAATTGAAAAGAAAATTCATATCGTGTTTTGATATGCTCAACTTTATTTAAGATTTGAGATATGTATCCTAGCAGGATATGCTTTCAGGAAGATGAAGAACATTCCTTATACTGTGTTTAGTTGGAAGATTTAGGAAGGAATTTGAAAATGGAAAAAAAAAAATATAAGTGAAATTTGAATAAAATATATCTATATTTTAACTAGTTTCATACAGTTTTTTCTTTTTTTCCTTTCCAAATCATTTTTCCAAATTCTCCAACCAAACACAACGTTAAGGGATGGAAACTTTTTGTTGTTGTCATTACTATAAGGAATGAATGAAGAACATGGACTCTGATAAAATTCTGATGCTGTGCTTAGATATCCAAGCAAAAGTGATTGATTCCTTGAAGAAGTAGGCACACCCACTTGCTTTGGGGGGCTAAGATGTGTGTGGAGATAGATGAAGAAGATATGTTTATTAATTATGTAACAATCTGTCTGAACTTTAGCAACTCACTTACAAAATTACCGGACCAAAAATATAAAACTTACATATCTTTCTTGAGTATAGAGACTAAATACATGTGTGTCTCATTCTGAGTTTGATCCTCTGTTCAATTAAACTAATTAATCACATTAATTATGTCGTACCATTTGCCAACATACCTTGCATCAAATCTTGAATTTTTTGGGAATCATGAGAGTTGTCAGTTTTAAATATCACTAGTTGATATTTATCAAAATAGCATTTATCGATGTATCAATTGATATTATTTTATATTGACTGATATATATGATTGTATTGTCAATATAAATACTTAAATAATATATAATTCTATCACTGATATTAATACATATTCTAACACCGTTATTTAAAATAATGTTACTGATAGTATGTATTACGAGTGTCCTTTATTGGTCAAATGACAATATTTACCCATCTTTGTTTTTTTGGAGTCAATCTATTTAGAATTGGAAAGTCTTGCTACGATAATTTATGCACGTGCATTTTTTTTATTAATGTTTTATCTCAATATTCTATGTACATTGAATTTTATTAATAATTTTTTTGTATTGATAAAAATAATAAATAAATAAATTAACAAAGTATCAATGTGTCGAAGGCAAAAAAGTTTGAGATTCAATGTGCTGAAATCAAATAAATAAATAGACTGAATTCGAACAAATGCTTTAAAGCTAAAAATATCATGTGTTGAAGGAAAAAAAGTTTGAGATTCTCAATCAGTGTGGGCTAGTCTAGTAGTGGGATCACAACTTGCTGAAATTAGCTCTGACCAAAGGACCTACGAACCAATCTGAATTTGATTGTTTTGGAAAAAAAAGTTTTGTTCTTAAAAGGAAAAAAAAGTAACAAATGGAAAAGTGGTTCTACTTAGCTTTTTTTGGGTAATTTATTCTACTTAGCTTGCTTACACCCCTACTAGAAGACTCTATTCATACTTTTTGAGTCTTGTTTCTCTGTCATAATTTTTTTAGAATGATTTTGTTGTGTTTTTTTTATCACATTAAAACATGTTAGCAAAAGGGAATCATGGCGTGCATCGTTAGGTATACCTCTTTATTAGAGTATGAGATTCAATTAATTTATTAAAAAAATTTAATTTAATTTGATTTAAGTATAATATATTTTATATATATTATATCTAATTAGTGAAAACCCAATTCAATTTAAAAATAACTAAGGGTTTGATTACAAAACCCAAAATTCTCAATAATATATATATTGTTTCAAAGTGCAGCGGCTGATATAATGTTTCAATTCATTCTCGGTGATGGTGCTGTGTGATTTGCAAATTTGGTCTTTGGTCTCTGACGCCTCCCGGGTGATTATTTTGGCAAGGACGAATTCATTGGTCTTTGCAAGATTCGGCTAATTTGGGTTAAATATTTTAGATCTTTTACAATTTTGTTTTACAGACGTTTGTTTATGTATTTGGTGAGATCTTTTCTCTTATTTATTTGTGATTTTTTAGAATTTGCCTAAGGGTGATTTTGTGAGACTATTTGTGTCTCGTTTATAATCGTTTGGAAACTTATTTGGTGGATAGTGGAATCGAATTTCGATCCCGTGGACGTACCTCACATCAAAGGAACCACGTAAAAATTCTTGTGTTACTTTGATTTAATTTTTTTGCATTAGTTTTTATTTTCATTGATTGATTTACTTATGGGGAATCGTCGATTTTCCCTAACAATTCTGCCGGGGTTGATTCTAAATTTATTTTAATAATTCAAATCGTTTATATTATGAGATTCGTTGAGTAGATCATTCATGAAAAAAATTAGATTAATTAGATATGCGTAATTCTATAATCAGGTTCTAATTGTTTGTAAAAACATTATCAAAATTATGAATCGTTTATGAAGTTACAAATATTCGATTAATTTGATTTTTTTATAAATAAATTACTCACTAAACCTTATAATATAAAATATTTAAATTATCGAAATAAATTCAGGAATAAATCCCAAAAGAGGCTTATAAAAGTTACTATTGTGACTATTGTGACTGATAATTTGAAGAATAAAGCTTGAGACCCCCACTCCCAGTGACCCCCCCAAAATGCCACGTGGCACCGCGTGATTGGAAGGAAAGGAAAAAAAATTGTTTTTGGCCTATTGGGGGTCCCTAGCACCACTGTAATTTGAAACTCAAACTGAAAAAAAATAAAACTAAAATTAAAATAATATAATATAATTTTACTTCCAACTAAAAGTATAACAATAATAATTGAGACCCTTTTTAAGACCCCACGACATCGTTTGGATTTCAATCATTGATAGTGTAAATCTCACACATATATAAATGAGTTCTACACATACATCAATGATTAAAATTCAAAAGAATCGTAAAGATCTCAAAAAAAAAAAGTAGGTTTGAAGTATTTTTCGTAAGTATAAATGGTTGAATTATTAGGACAATAAGACTAGAGCATCTTATTGGTACTTTTCAATTCATTATAGTCCGGTTTGGGATGTCTATTTAGGTTAAAATAATTATATATGATAAAATAAATTATTTTAATCAAATAAAAAAAATATCATATTTAATTCATAATTATTTTATTTTTTCTCTCACAAAAATTAAAAAAATCAAAAAATCTATTCCAAACGAGACATTTTAACCCATGCTAACATAGTTAAAAAATTAAAAAATTAATCCACGTACCCAACAAATACTATATTAGATTTCCTTGTCTCAATTTTACCTTCAATATCACAATTGCCAATGCAGATAGGGTGGCGGCTGAGAAAAAATTACGGGTCTATAATTTTTTCAAAATTAATAAGACCATCTCCAACGGTGACTCAAATTTTTCATTAAATTTGAGTAAAAAATGACTTATTTTACTAAATTTGATACCACTCGCTCCAACGGTTCACCTTTCACCAAATCTATCCCGAGACAATCGGGTGGTCGACCGGCCGGTTGACCGGTTAGGCAAAAAAAATTTTTTTTTTTTTTTTTTTGCGAATTGCCTGAACTTTTTTTTGAACTTTCTGAACTTTTTCGGGACGACCGGGGTGGTCGACCGGCCGGTTGACCGGTTAGGCAATTTTTATTTTTTTATTTTATTTTTTTTAACGGTTTGAACTTTTTTTTCTGAACTATTTGAATCTTTTACTGGTTGACCGGTTGGTCAACTGGCCGGGTAACCGGCTGGTTGACCGGTGTACCTCTTTCAACGGTCAGTAACAGTGATTTGGTAAAATCTGTGTCTTGTTCTCAGTTTGATACTTTTTTTGTTGAAATCTCATTTTGATATCAATCTGATGCAACGGTTGGAGCTTGAAAAAGTAAGTTTTTCATCAAAATTTGAATTTGATGCTGGGTTTGGTTCACCGTTAGAGATGGTCTAATATACCAATAGAAAAATTATATATAAAATAATATATCAAATTAATATTCATTCTATATGAAAGTGATTTGGTATTTCAAATCTATCATTGACACCTCTCTTTTTTTTATAGGATTCTTTTGTACCAAAAAAATCTATTTATAAATCTTTTTTCTTTTTTTTTTAATTTTTGGATCTACACATAATACTTGAGTGTGGGAGACTATAATTTTTTCCTAAAGGCTCGTTTGGCAAACTTTATTTGTAACTTATTTAGTTTAAAATTTAAAATTTCATGCTTAAGAAATTATACTTTGAAAAGTTGTGCTTGATAAAACTTTTCAAAATTTTAACTTATTTACTTTTTTAACTCAAAATAAACCAAAAATTCAACTTTTTTAAGTTTAATTTGAGATTTTTTTTTTTAACTGTAAATAATATATTTTCGAAACAACCTCATTATTCACCACCGAGTACATGCTCTCCCAATCTCTCTTTCTCTCTCAAAATCAAAGAGAAAATATGAGTTCAAGCTTATCAATCGAAATGCAGTTTACTATTGGGTGTTTGAAAGAGGGATAAATATCCAAAATAAAATGTGACCAACGAGATCAAAATTTAAATAAAGGAGTGGAAAACAACATGTTGAGTTGTTAGATGTTTTAGAAAATGAGAGACAAGAAGGGTAGATGAGCGAGAATGAGTCGAAGTGACCAAAATTGCCCCTAAGCCTCAACAATAATTGATATTTGGATCAAAACAAGGATCTAAAAGATGTGGTAATTTGGTAAGATATTGAGATATAAATCTTGAGGTTTCAGATTTCACTCTTTTCTAGGGGTCCAATCTAATCATCTGAGTAACAACACATATGATTGGTAGGACGAACCTTTCAAGTCTGGACAAATCGTAAAAGATTTGAATTTTCGCCTTTGTGCAAATCCGCGACTTATAATTACATGATGGAGTAGCCCTATTATATAGTACCACTTAAGAATAACCTCTAGAATGTCGACTTCTTAGAGTTAAACCCCAAAGATAACCCCTCAGTGGTTAGATCTTTTAATTAATAATTGAGGGACTAAAATGAGAATCTTCATTTATGAATCAAAATAAGAATGACACCAATCTTTAAGGGGGTAAAAGTATAATTTGCCCTCAATTTAGAGGCAATTTAAAAAGCTAGTAAAA